ATGTGAAAAACAGAAAATTTTTTCAGGCCCATTTCAGCCAGAGCTACAGAGACCCTTCCTCAAAAAAAAAAAAAAAAAAGATGCCTAGTCTTTAGACTCTGAGGAATACTACACAGGTAAACACTGGCTCACCAACAAGGACCTGGATATAATCAACAACCTCACCAGCAGCCAAAGGCAAAACAAGAGTTCAGCCCTGCCTGGGGTCTCCTACAGACAAGCAGGCAATCCCCGCAGTGACAGCACAGGCATCTCATCTCAGTACTCAAGCCTGGGCAGCACAAACCCCAGAGGCAGCCGCCATTGTTTGCCCAGACTATGCTGCCATGAGGAGCTCAACTCAAAACTTTAGATAGTTTCAAAACTCACAGTAAAACAGGGTCAAAGACGAGGAAGAAAGATGTCCTAGACTTGAGAACACCCTTGGGTGTTTCAGAAAAATAACACTATTGTCATTTAGAAAGCAAAGTCAGTAGGCAAGGCATTTGGAAACAGAGAGGCAGGGTTGCCTGAGCTACACCCCAACTTCTCACAGCTGGCCTAGGCAACTTAGCAAGACTCTTACCTCTAATTCAAGATGAACCATAAAAGGGACCACATGGGATGGTGGCACCTGAGGACATAACTCAATGCCTATTGTGTCCAAACCCTAGGGCTCAGCTCTTAGTCTCCCCAAAATAAAAGGAAGCCACCTGGCTGTGGGAATCATAATGCCAGTGCCTAGGAGACTAAAGCAGGAGAACAAGGGCAAGGCAAGCCTAAGGTGGAGGAACACCCTCAAAGTCCCAAAAGGACAAGGAAGCACCAGTCAGATCATAGCCCATGGAGTGTGGGCCACAAGAAGATGCAGTCTCTTTCTTCCCCACAGGCTGCCGGTTGTGCACAACTGGCCTCACTCACCATAGGCAGGCAGCCATCATCTATTTTCAGACAAGGTCTTAACCAGCAGACCCCACCAGGCACTCTAAAATCTCCCCTCTATTTGAAAAGCTTCTCCAAGGCAGTGGTGGCCCACTGGGGAGGCAGACAGGTGATCTCCAAGTTCGAGGCCAGCCTGGTCTACAGGCCCCAGCTGTGAGGTAAGCCCAATTATATCCAACTCTGGTAAATCAACATATCACCATGTTCAGCTGCATCCTCAGATATCAGGGGTAAAGATCAGTGTCACGCTCCTGCAAGGAAAGACTCCACAATGACATCAGATCTCTCGCCCAATGCCATGGGAGCACTTACAAGAAAACTAAAATTAAATGAATGCTCTCACCCGAGTGAGGTGGCATGCACCTGTAACCCCACCTCTCAGAAGATGGGGACAAGAAGGTCAGGCACCAAGGCTGATCTCAGCGACAGTGTTTGAGTCCAGCCTGAGCTACATGAGACTGGGGTGGGGGCAGGGGACGGCTCTCACCACCACGATCTAACAGCAGTGGAAGCAAACAATTTAAGAATAGCTAGGTGAGCTGGGTGTTGGTGGCGCACGCCTTTAATCCCAGCACTGGGAAGGCAGAGGCAGCTGGATCTCTGTGAGTTCGAGACCAGCCTGGTCCACAGAGCAAGTGCCAGGACAGGCTCCAAAGCTACACAGAGAAACCCTGTCTCGAAAAACAAAAACAAAATCAAAATATAGGCAAGTCTAAGTCCCTTAAGCACTAATAGGCCTGAAGAAGGCTCAGCAGTTAAGAGCACTATTTCAGAGTTCAGATCCTGGCATCCACACTGGGCAATGCACCACCACCTGTAACTCCAGCTCCAGGGGATCTGCAGGTGCCCTACAAATACAACTAAACATAAACCTTAAAAAATTTCCCAGCACCAAGAGACAGAGGCAGCAGGCGGATCTCTGTGAGTTCGAAGCTACTACACAGAAACCCTAGCTCAAAAAGCCAAAAAATAAATACAAATTGTGTGTGCGTGTGCGCGCACATGCCTATGTCTCAGTGGCAATGTTCATACACACACAGTCACTGCTCTTTACACAGCTGCACAGCAAAAGGGAAACCCCTCATACCTTACCTTTTGGAGAAAGGCACCTCAGATGTGACAGTGATCTTGCTCTTGCTCCGTTCAATGGTCACAACCCCTCCGCCAAGATTCCCAGCTTTCCCGTTCACCTTGATTCTCTCCTGGAGGAACTGCTCCTGCAAAAATCAACAGTGAGTGCAGGGGGCTGACGGGTCTCAGGGGTAGGCTGGTTTCACACTTTCTCCCAACGCTATGCTACAGGTATCCTTAAAATCTTCAGTCTTTAAATGATGTGTGTGTACACATGATGTATGTGGGTGCCTGTGCCATGGTGTCCTACTACCAGAGGACAACTTTGTGGATGGGGTCAGTTCCCTAAGCAAGTTCTAAGGACTTTGAGGCAAGTTCATGAAGATGGCGCTATTCAACATAATCTCATGTGAATGGTCTTGGCTGGCTCCATGATGATGAAAGCTTAGAGGGCAGCACACTCAGGGTCAAAGGGTAAAGAGTAAGCCAGGGCAACACAGTGAGATCCTACCCATCTCAACATAAAAACCAAACAAACAAAAAGGGTCAAGACTAAGCAGGAGACCAAGTGCCATGCTTTGATACAAACATGCAAAGCTGCAAGCGACCTCTGAGCCTATGGGGCATGAAGCACAGTTCTCAGCACTACAGAGAAGAGAGTCTTCACCTAGTAAGAAGAGCAAAGACACACGCCAACGTAAACAATCACAGACCTGCCTGGAGTCACCTGCATGGTAAATAGCAGAAGAGACAGGGACTCATGAGCCCAGACATATTCTGCAAAGCACCATGTGAGCCAGGACAAGCCATTCACCTTCAGGAACCTCCGTCCAAAAGGGACTTTTTGTTTTGTTCTGTTGCCACTGCAATGAGATGAAGTCCCTTCAGCTCAGAACTACCATTACCATGTTAGGGACTGAAGATTCAGCTCAATGACAGCCAAGAATGCTCACTCAGAATGTGAGGTCCTGAGTTACATCCTGAGACAATTAAAACTCCAACACAAAACTGTTAACTATGGTGGGGCAATGGTCAGAAAACATACCTTGACTTTACTAGCAAGTCTTCTGGAAGGGAAATCATTAGCAGAGATGAATGCCAAGGGAATGGTTTGCTGAAGGAGGCCAGTGATGACACCAGGCAGGACCAACACATAAATGACAAACAGAAAATAGCCACCAAGGATTGGAGAGACTCCCACTCTTCCAGAGGGACGTTTCCCAACACCCATGCAGCAGAATACAACCATCCCTAACTCCAATTCCAGGGGATCGGGCGCCCTCCTCTGAATTCCAATGTCATAAGGCATGCATGCAGCACACAGACATATATGTAGGAAAAACACATTAAAAAGTCTTAAAAAAAAAAAAGAGGGTCTCTCTATGCAGCTTGTTTGCCCTAGAACTCAGTATATATAGATCAGGCTGGCCTTAAACTCAGAGATCCACCTGCCTCTGCCTACCAAAAGCTGGGATAAAGGCATGTGTCACCATGCACAGCAATAATAATAATATTTTTTAAATTAAGAAAAAAGATACCACCAAGCCAGGCATGGTATTGCATACTTTTAATCCCAGTATCTGTGAGTCTGAGACCAACCAGGAAATGTAGACTCAGGATGTGTGCATACGAAGGCCTTGGTCCCAAGAGCCAAAATGGGGCTGCAGAGACAGTAATTCTAGATTAAGGGGGACACGGGGGTCCTGGGAATATGGAGCAAATACAGGGGCAAAAAGAGTCAGAACAGGGCTGGAGTTAACTGGTTCACAGCACCAACATGGTAGTTCACAACCACCTGTTAACTCTGGTTCCAGAGAAATGCCCTGGCCCTGGTCTGGCCTCCATGAACACTGCACACACATGGTGCAGACATACCTGCTTGCACAAAATCTAAATGAGAGGGGATCTCAGGACAGCACCAAGTCTGTAAAAGACAAGCCTCAGGGACAATTCAGCAAGCAGATGAAAGCAAACACACTCAGGTCTTAACACTGCTGCCATTGGCCTAAGGTCCAGAGGCTCAGGCTGCCCACGCAGATAAACTTAACATAGTGCAACAGCAGAGCTGAACCCACCAAGTTTGCCCGATTCTTGGGAGACCATTAGAGGAGGAAGGCAGGATACTAGGTCTGTCACTCATATCCACAGCCTGTCTGTTATTCTTCCATCTCATTTAGCCTGCTGAACTCAAGAGACTCAGCAATAAATACCTAACTTGCCCCCTCTGGTTAAGTAGAGTCTGGGACTGCCTCCAAGAGGTTTTCCCAAAGTATCTCCCGAACCTCACTGCTTCCCAGCCCAGAGGAGCAACAGAACTTGTCACTTACGAAATTGGCAGCGTCCATGATCCCATCTTCTACAGGGTGGGTGCAGTCAAGGGTGAACTTCAAAACCTGCTTCTTTTTTTTGCCTCCCTTCGCCACAGGCTTTTTCTAAGGGCACACAGAAAACAGAGGTGAAGCCTCAGGTAGCACCCCCCCCATTAAAAAAACAAAGCCATGCCGGAGGCATAAAAGTCCTTACAAATACAAACCCAAGGAGACGAAGGGTCCCCTTCAAGAGTGCCAAGGAACTTGTTCTACATGCTAAGAGAAGGGGAACCATTAACACTCTAGTCCCACACACACACAACCTCTCCGGACACCCCAATCTTGACAAGCACGGGGGTCTGTTGGCACATGAACCACAGTGCTACCCCAAAAAAAATACTCCTTTCTTTTACTCACTTGCAAGCACAAGCATCCAAGTGCTGTGCACACTCACCGTCACTGGGAAATCCTTCACTAGCACCTATCCAGACTCGAGCACTTCACCGTGCTCTTTGGCACCTAATCCCCGGACCTTGTCAGGAAACAGCGGAGGAATTACAATATTGTAGCTGCTTTCCAGCCGGCTTCCTAAAGACCAAAGACTGTGGCTAGCTCTTCCAAACCACACCTAGGAGGGTCCGGTTTACTTCCACAAAGTGACATCCCGCCAATCGTCTCTGCGGACCCCTGGAACTTGTAAAGAACTCAACCGAATTTTTGCCCTTCAAGGTTTTGCAGTTCACGCACACGCTCCCTTCCCGTCACAAAGTGACATTCCGTCAATCGTCTCTGCGGACCCCTGGAACTTGTAAACAACTCAACGGAATTTTTGCCCTTCAAGGTTTTGCAGTTCACGCACACGCTCCCTTCCCGTCTCCGCAAGTTTGCACTTTGCAGTTACTGCTACACTTACGTCCAGTGTTTTTCCCGCAACTCCATCCCCCCCTCCCCGGGAAAGGCCGGCTCACTCAGACAGGCTGCCCACAGCGGACCGCAAGACCTCCCTACAGGACTCTAACCCACACACACACACACACCAACGCGCTGAAGCCAAGGCAGAAAGACGCGAGACAACCGCAAACACACCACGAGCCCCCGGCCTAGAACCTTCCGTCCAGGGAGGGCGACCTCCGGGGGGAGCCCGGCTGGAAGGCTGCGCACGGGCTGACCTCGGCCAAGAGCAAGCACCGCACTCGGCTGCACCGGGACGGGACGGGACGGGACGGGGGCGGAGCCGCCTGCGCCCGG